AACTTAAGATGTGACTATATATTTGTATCTTTTATCTTATAACCATCTTTCCAAACTAGATTAGCTTAGCATAGCATATCTAAGTACAGGGAAGTTGCTCAACTGTTACAGCACAGAGTGAAAAGGGGCGGGGCTTATGAAGGGATAACTTTCCCTTTAATTGTATCAGAATCAGAAATACTTTATTGATACTGGGGAAAGGGGTTAATGAACCAACACCAGCTCGTTCTGTACCTGCAGTTCAGGTTGATGATCTGCTTTATGTTCACATTATGTTAAACACTGCAGGTGCCTCTGACTCACCTGTGCAGCAGCGTGTGTCTGTCCGTGCAGCAAAGCATGCTGGGTAGAGTTGAGAAGGCTGATATTGACTGTAATGAAGATTGGACTCAACTTATCCCGAACCTCCTCTTCAGCCTGCACACACACACACACACAGACACACACAGAGTCAGGTGTGACGGTCTGGTTTCTTCTTTAGGTGTTTTCTATGTCACTCACCCTCAGGTAGGCGGTCTGATTGATGCAGGCCACGCCCACCGTCCTCTGGACTGTCAGCTTCACCGTATCCTGCGGCTGATTGCTCGCCAGCAGCAGAGTCCGTCTCGCCATCGGCTGTTTCATCCTATCCAGCTGTAGCTCCGCCCCCAGGGCTGCCTCAGCCAATCAGCAGGCAGACAGAAAGATCAACCTCAGTATAAATTTCATGTCTTATCTCATCTTTTAACCTGTGAAGGGTTGTTTACCTGTCTCCTGAGGGATTTTGTGACCAGACAGGTAGACGCACACCTGGATGACAAAACTGCAGACAGACAGAACTTTAGTGGAGTCACATTAGTGAGAAAACAGCAATGGTGGACAGCAAGGATTTGGGACTGTAATCTGATGACTCATTACCTTTAATCTGTATTTCTGATTGTTTAGTGTGTAAAAAATTGAAATAGACGAGTCATTCATTCATTCAAGTATTAGTTTGTGAGGTTTAACTGCAGTGTGACTGCAGCCGAAGCTCAGAGACAGCGAGGGAGAGCTCAGTGACTGCAGCCGAAGCTCAGAGACAGCGAGGGAGAGGGCAGTGACTGTCCAATGCCGTTACCAGGACATAGGGGTGCGTCCTCGGTGACACACTTTGACTTCTGGATTCAGGAAGTCCGGCAGCAGAGAGAGAGAAACTCTGGAGCGGATCACTGCTTGGGATCTGAGCACACAGACACAACAGTCAGCTGACAGGAAGCTGAAGGCAGAAACAGATTATTATGGTTTGTGCTGAACTGTGAAATTTAAACTCTAATTTACAAAAAAGTAACAGAACAATATGTAAGTTTGGATATTAAATAAAAAGGAAAGGCTTTTTCTAAAAACTAAACTCAGTCTGATCCGTTATCAGTGTGTCAAGATACTGAAATGTAATAATTAGTTACAGTTACTAGTTGCTTTACTAATGACAACATACAGTCCTTATTACTGTACTATAATATAATACAATATAACATATTATATTACTGTATATTACACTCACTGTATACATTTGATCTATGACCTCCTACCTGTAGACAAACGCTCGGTCTGCAGCCCACGCTCCAACCAGCAGGTCTGCAAACACACACACCTCACATTGCTTATTAATTACTGATTATTCATCTGTAACTAATGAGTAACTTCTGAACGTACCTGGGTATCCGTTACCGTCAACGTCAGCACCGCCTCTCAGAGTAAAGCCGAATGCTGTCCTGCTGCTAGGCAACGGGCTGTCAATCACCTGGGAGGGCGTGGCTGACAACCCGTTACTGTTGCCCAGGTAGATAAACACCTGGCCCTGCCCACGGTCACCTGACCAGGGAGCCCCGACGGCCACATCTGGAGAGAGATTGTTCCAGTTAGCTGTGGTCATTAGCATAAGCATTATCGCTAATGCCGGTGGAGCTCTTAAGGTACAGGAGTTCTGGATTCAGTGTCTTGCTAACTGTTGGAGCTAAAGCTAAAGCCAGCAGTTCTACATTCATACTTTAACTGGTTACCTTGGTAACCGTCCATGTCCAAGTCACCCAGCGCGGCGAGGGCGGAGCCAAACCGGCCGTACAGAGAGAAGCCGATCAGTGATTGGTCAGGTTGGGAGGAGAATGAGGAGTGTCGTCTCTGCAGGTACAAAACCACCTGAAACATAATAAAGAATGACATCATCACACAATAAATGATGGGAAATACTGTCTGGTTCAGTCTGGATCAGTCCGGATCAGTCTGGTTTAGACTGGATCAGTTCAGACTGGTTCAGTCCAGACTGGTTCAGTCCGGTTGAGTCTTGTTCAGTCCGGTTCAGTCCGGTTCAGTCTGGTTAAGTTTGGTTAAGTCTGGTTAAGTCTGGTTCAGTCCAGTTCAGTCTGCAGTCTGGATCAGTCTGGTTCAGACAGAGAAGAAGAAGATATTATCAGACCTGTCCTCTCTCCTGCAGCTGCTCTGTCACTCTGTCCATGAAGAGAGGAGCTCCGATCAACACGTCTTCTAAACTGCAAAAACAAACAAACAAACAAACAATGAAGAGTTCTGATTGGTTCCACTGAGCCCGACCCTGACCCACTGTCTGCTCTCACCCGTCACTGTTGACATCAGCTACAGCCACACTGTGTCCAAAGTACGACGCCACCTACAGGACAAAAAAAGCTGCACACATTGTTTCACCAGCAGGTACATCCACATTCTGATGATGTCAAACTCTCACCTGCGCCCCCTGGAAGGTGTGGTAGACCCTCAGAGACCCACTACTCCGCCCATCATAAACCTTCACCTAGGAACACACACAGGTGGACAACAGGTAAAGACTACAGTACGACAGGTAAAGACTACAGTCCTTATAAAGTACGACAGGTAAAGACTACAGTACAACAGGTAAAGACTACATTACGACAGGTAAAGACTACAGTACGACAGGTGAGTATGACAGGTAAAGCCTACAGTCCACATAGAGTACGACAGGTAAAGACTACAGTACGATAGGTAAAGCCTACAGTCCATATAGAGTACAACAGGTAAAGACTACAGTCCTTATAGGATACGACAGGTAAAGACTACAGTATGACAGGTAAAGACTACAGTACGACAGGTCTTACGGTTCCTGCTGTGTTTCTGTCATTGGGAACACCCACCAGATAATCTGAAACAATCAGACCAGAATGTGAAACAGACATTAAGACTTTTAGTTTTAGTTTGTTGATCAGTAGCTACTGGTTGATAATCAATCGATCAATCATATTGATGGATTATAAAACAAAACCTGGTGTGGAGTCTCCAGTCAGCTGACCACTGGCCACTGAGTAACCTGACAGACACAGTAATGTGCTAATGTTAGCAGTTAGCATTTTCTGGATACACTGAAATATGCTAATGTTAGCAGTTAGCAGAGGTCAATCAACTGTGGTTGTGCTCAGGTCAGATGAACATGGTGGCTGAGAGGTGTCCAACACAAACAACAATAATGTGGTTATTTTTGTAGAATTTGCAAAGCATTCTGGGTATTGAGTTAATTCGTACCGCTGGCCACCAGAGATGATGCTAAATAAAAGCCCTACTTACCACGGTAAAGGTCGTAACCCCCCTTCTCATCGGATTGGCTGATTCCAGCTACATAACTGAGAGGATCGTTGCTCCGCCCACTGTTGATGATGTCACTAACACCCACTGTGATGACCTGACCTGAAATCAACATGGGGGTGATGTCAGCAGTGATGTCAGCAGTAAACATCAACATTCAAACTTTATTTAAACAATCAGAATGATGGACGCTGCACAGAAGAGTTTTATCTCTCAGAGCGTTAAACAGTCAACATTCATGTTCTTATCAGAGAACACATCAATATAAAGCTAGAGCTACAGCTAATATTACTGCTACAGCTAAAGCTACAGCTAATGCTAATGCTAGAGCTACAGCTAATATTAATGCTACAGCTAAAGCTGTAGATAATGCTACAGCTGATGCCTGTTGTTAATCAGATGCTGTAATACTCATCAGGGACCAGCAGGTGTCTCCACTCACCCTGGAAATAAAAACTTCCTGGAGCTCCGAGCAGCAGCCGACCCTCCTAAACAAAACAAACATGGCCGCCACACGACCGATCGTTCAATGTAATTAATGGATCCTCAGCTAGCCTCAGTTAGCCTCAGTTAGCTTCCACAGAAGTGACTCTGCCCACCACCAACTCACCTTGGTGATGTCAGCACTGAAGCCAACCTCACAGTAGCGCTGGTCGTTTCCTAGGCAACGAGAGAGAGACAGAGTTCAGACTCAGTGTGGAGAAGTGCATTGTGGGATTGTAGGCAGTGTGTAATGATACCGATAATATATTTCTGTGTTCAGGTTCTCGCTGTGGACTACCTCTTGAGACCCAGACCTGGTCTTGAAGGTGGTCTGGACTCTGGTTCTTACTGTTTTTCATGCGTTTGTAGTCGTCCTCCATCATGATGCCTCTGCAGGGGGAGAAGGAGGAGGAGCTTCCTGTCCTCTGGTCCAATAGGAGGCAGTTTCCCACAGGTGTTTTCCCTGACTCCCCCCCTCGCTTCTGAACGTTCCAGTGAAAGCGTGGTGCACACGCCTGACATGTACATAAAGTGTTAACTCTCTGATTACAACCAACTGAATACAGCTCAGTCCCCTGTCTACAGCCAGTGTTTGTCCGTTCTGGGCTACCGTAGAAANNGCGGACTCCACCAGAGAGGACCCGTCTCATTCTAAGGTAACACACAATGATTCTTATTATAAGCTGATTAAACACTAATGAAAACATACCTGTGGATATTAAATTACATTATTTTAATATTGAATATAAATAATAATAAAATGTTCATAGGAAACAATTTCAGTGTTCAGTTATTGATCAAATCAGTTAAATCATCAATATGAAATAAGTGATTTGTGTTGATAAACAGTTTCATGTTCAATAAAAATTGTGAAATATACATTAAAGATGTTATGAACCCTGAATTTACAAAAGATTGAGTCAGCTTTAATAATTGGTAGATATTATTGATCACAAGTTAGAAGGCAATAAGAGGAATTATTGGTGATTTATGGACTTATTGGAATAAATAAACACCTGTAACCACAATGATGCCTCTTGTACATCTTCTTATTATCTTCTGGGAGACACCTGTGTCATTTCCAATAAAAAAAAACTTGCTGGTTGAATAAAAGTAACTTTAAGTCAATATTTGTCAAGGGTATGAATACTTCGGGCTTGACTGTACAAGTTCTGGGGGGTGACACTCAACAATAAACTGCAACACATAAGCTGGACTGGAGAACCACACTGAGGCCCCTCTAAACAGGAAAGACAGAGCGTCCCAGTTCCTCCAACCTCACAGACCACAGCTCGCAGTACGTCCAACCCCTCCACAACCACAGGCTCCCAGTACCTCTTAACCTCTCCACAACGAAAGCTCCCCAGTACTTTAACGCTCAACAAACCATAGCTTCCCCAGTACCTCCAACTTCCACAACCACAGCACCCATAACGCGTCCTAACATCGCCACAACCACAGCTTCTAGTACCTCTAACCCTCCACAACCACAGCTCCCAGTATCTAGCTAGCCAACCTATAGTTTTTTATTTCTTATTATCATTTTATATTTTTATTTTGTGGTCTTATTGTATGTACACTGTATCTTTGCTCCCCCAGTGGCTGCTGTGTGTTTTCCTACGGGGGATTAATAAAAAGGGTATAGCTTCATCTTAATAAATGATAACTAATAATAACATAAATTACGTAGAGTTGAGCCGGATCGGCTGAAACGAGTATCCGGTAACGGATAAAAGACTTTTGCCGGAGGTAAGAGTATTATAGCGAGTAAACGTCAATATCCTGTGCTCGGATTGAATAACAAAAACCATAAAATCCTCATTGGGTAGCTGACTGTGTAATGCGTTCAACACCAGCGCCCCCTCCGCCGCTACACACAGATGTGTCACTGTGTCTCGCTCTGGGCTCACTCACAACACAAGAACAGCTCTGCTCCTCTCTCCCCTCCAGCAGTCACCTAAGGTTCGCGGTCTTTGCCGTTAACGACGTTTTAGGTTTAGCTTTCAGGTTGTTAGGTTTTGTCTGTACGTACTTATTAACCCAGTAGATGTTCTGGTAAACGTGGGTCCGTTCAGACGTGGCTGGCTTGAATGCGAACTCGCGTTTGCGTTCTCCCTTCGGAGATTTTTCTTTTTCTTTTTTTAACCGTTCGCTGCCTCTAACCACCCACACCAACCACATACACACCTCTGTCTCTCCCGCTCTCTGCCGGTCGTCTGGAGTTTTTTTAATTTTTTGTGTTAAAACGCATCGGCTGGCTCTAAATCACACCACACACACACACCAAGTGTGGAAATAAAAAAAATTAAAACCAAAAAAAAAAAAATGATACCTGATCATAAAAAAAAATTAAAATTGCATTTTACTCATAAATGCAAAACCCTTGTTCTGTAAAGCAGTTGTTTGTTATCAGTGATCAAAAAACCATTGATCTGAAGCTCATGCTGATGCTGTCCTGTTAAATAGTTTTCTAATCAGCAATAAATATAACAATTTCTGATCAACCATATCAATTGGCACGCTTAAAATAACATAAGCGCGGTTAAAGTCACGCCCATTTCAAGACAACCCGGCCAACTCCGGGTTACCAGCACCCGCCCATTTCCGGGTTAAGGTCCCGCCCATTCCGAGTACAGATACAGATCAGATACAGATAATTCATATGGTTTAACGATACAGATAGCAGATACCAGAGTATGCTGTACTCGCTCATAACCCTACACTAAAAGATTAATAATTATATAATAATAATGATACTGTCTGTTCTCCCACCAGTATGTGTGTGTCACTAACTGATGCACTGAAGGCTCCCCAACGCCACTGCTGACTCTTAAAGGATGAAAGACAAATCAGAGCTGCTGTAGACTTCATCACCTGCAAACAGGTAACATGAAGTAAGATGGTAAGCAACAGTCAGACAGCAACTAACAGTAGACAGGTACTACAGTCCAACAGCACAACAGTCAGATGCCCAACGATCGATCAGGAAAACTCACCTTCCTTGTCAAAGTCGATATGTCACAGGCCCCCGCCTCCGGTGACCAGGGGGCAGAGGAACAACGCGCCCCAGTCCCGCTCGCTCACCTCCCTGATTGGTTGGTGTTGGCTTTGGGAGCCTCCATGACGCAGATGACTGCGAAATCAAGAGGGTTGGGCGGTTCAATCCCCGGCTTCCAGCTGCATGTTTGAAGTGTCGTTTGAAGCAAATATCTTGAACGTGTGTGTGTGAAAGGGTGAATGTGTGTGTGTGAAAGGGGGGATGTGTGTGTGTGAAAGATGATTTTGTAATGATGTGTGTGGAAGGGTGAATGTGTGTGTGAAAAATGTAGTGTCCAGTGCTTCGAGAGGTTAGAAGGACTTGTAAAGAATTATATGTGTGCAGTACAGTCCATTTACCATTTAATAATCTTCCTGGTTGGTTCAGGAGCTAATTAAATGAAATAGTTATTTAAATGTGTAAAGAAGTTCTTACTTGTTGCTGAAGGTCTTTATTAAGGTGTTAGTAAATGTAAATATTAATTAAGAGATAATTAAATGTTAATTGAGAGTTAATTAAACGTTAATTAAGAGATAATTAAAGGCTGCTTACTTGTTGTTGAAGGTGTGAAAGTCGACAGAGAATCCAAACAGACTTCCTGTCGGACCGCTGAACGTCACAGCTTCATCTAACAGGTTCAAACACACACACACACTCACACACAGCAGCTCACACACACACCTGAACACATACATCACACCTGTCTGTCTGACTACTACTGTCTCTCTCACTGTCTGTCTTACTTTCTATGTGCAGACTGAAGCAGTTATATGAGTCTTCCTGATATATAAACCCTTGTGTGTGTCTGTGTGTGTGTGTGTGTGTGTGTGTGTGTCTGTCTGTCTGTGTGTGTGTGTCTGTGTGTGTGTGTGACAGATGATTGACAGCTGGCTGTGTCACTTTAACCACTTTGCTGCTGTTTCCTGTTGATAGAAGTTGAAAAAAAAAAGAATGTGTATCTGGAGTTTTATTTCGAGGTCTGTGGTGAATTCAGGGACGTCTCTGTCTGTCCGTTCCTTTCACACAGACAGAAACAACCTCCATATTCACAGACTGTAACTATATACTATACTTAACTTAATAATGCTGTTTATCAAAGTCAAAGTCAAAGTCAGCTTTATTGTCCATTGACAGTATTGACACAAACAAATAAAATGTTTGTGAGGAACAGGTCAAACTGTTCGTGCAAAATAAATTAAATATTGAATAAATATAGTTCTCTGCTGCAGAAACTGGAAACATTTATCTCAATGAATTAAAGGTCATATAGAACATGAATCCAGCAGCTAACAGCTGGTAGCTGTGTAAACATATAGTGGTTATTGTTGGAAAGACTGACAAAGACTGAGTTCTGTTCTGTTTCTGTCCACTTTGAATGAAGTTACGATGATTGAGGTTAAATTAGTGTTTTTTGGTCTCTGGAGTCTGGTGGGAGAGTGATAGTGATATTATGGCTGTTTGTGGTTAAACTAAAGGTCTATCTCTGTAGGGATCCTTTCCAGTCCAATAAAATGTTTTAATCATCAGGAAACAGTTTGTTTGTAACATCATCAGCTTCAGAAAAATAATACATCATAACACAAACATTTCACTGTAAAATACTGACTGACTGACTTTTGTAAAATATAGCAAAAAGACAAAGATATATTTATTTTGCAATACAAATACAAAATAAATGCTGACTATGTTGTTAAGTACATTGTGGGGACGTCAGTCATTCACAGACATTGTGGGGACTCCTCACAAATGCATCAATGAACAGAGACTTTAACCCATAAACATGTCATAAAGATGATTCTGCTAACATTCATTATTTATTCTTTGTAATGTTCCTCCTGTCGGTTCCTCCTGTCGGTTCCTCCTGTCGGTTCCTCCTTGTTCCTCTAACAACTTTCACTTGATGTATGTCCTCTTAAGTGACAAAAACAGGTTTATGTGTGTATGTCTCACAACGCCCCCTGCTGTTGTTTGTCTGTCAGCACATACATCTGTTTCAGCTCCGCCCACCAGTCGCCACGGTGACGCCAGCGAGGCCGCAGCAACAGATCATTGAGGAGAGCAGCGAGACACGCCCCTAGAGCAGGCCCCACCCACAACACCTGCAGAGGAACCGATCAGAGTGCAGCCTGAGGGTGTGTCTGTCTGTGTGTGTGTGTGCGTTGGTTCCACCTGTATATGAGGTCATTTCATCGGTTTACGCACCGACATTATAAGGACATACCGTAACTGTGAGGACAGTTGAGATGTCCTCATAAGTCTTGCAGCATACAAGCACTTAGCATGATGCAAATAACTCCCTCCCCCTTTTTCTCGAACTAACCTCATAGTTACGTTTGACCTGATTTCTAGTGTATGTGTGTGTGTGTGCCTGTTGTGTATAATCTCCTACTACTACTGGTTTGTGGTACTGCAGCTCCATACACATTTCTGGATCGTTTTACACTGAATGAGAGCCTTTCATTGGCTGAACACATCTCTGTCACAATTCTTATC